CTCTCAGGGTTCTGATGGTCCAGAGGAGCTCTCAGGTTTCTGATGGTCCAGAGGAGCTCTCAGGTTTCTGATGGTCCAGAGGAGCTCTCAGGGTTCTGATGGTCCAGAGGAGCTCTCAGGGTTCTGATAGTCCAGAGGAGCTCTCAGGGTTCTGATGGTCCAGAGGAGGTCTCAGGGTTCTGATGGTCCAGAGGAGGTCTCGGGGTTCTGATGGTCCAGAGGAGGTCTCGGGGTTCCGATGGTCCAGGGGAGCTCTCGGGGTTCCGATGGTCCAGAGGAGGTCTCAGGGTTCTGATGGTCCAGAGGAGGTCTCAGGGTTCTGATGGTCCAGAGGAGGTCTCGGGGTTCCGATGGTCATGGGGAGCTCTCGGGGTTCCGATGGTCCAGAGGAGGTCTCAGGTTTCTGATGGTCCAGAGGAGGCCTCAGGTTTCTGATGGTCCAGAGGAGGTCTCAGGTTTCTGATGGTCCAGAGGAGGTCTCAGGTTTCTGATGGTCCAGAGGAGGTCTCAGGGTTCCGATGGTCCAGAGGAGGTCTCAGGGTTCCGATGGTCCAGATGAGGTCTCAGGGTTCTGATGGTCCAGAGGAGGTCTCAGGGTTCTGATGGTCCAGAGGAGGTCTCAGGTTTCTGATGGTCCAGATGAGGTCTCAGGGTTCCGATGGTCCAGATGAGGTCTCAGGGTTCTGATGGTCCAGAGGAGCTCTCAGGGTTCTGATGGTCCAGAGGAGCTCTCAGGGTTCTGAAGGTCCAGAGGAGCTCTCAGGGTTCTGATGGTCCAGAGGAGGTCTCAGGGTTCTGAAGGTCCAGAGGAGGTCTCAGGGTTCTGATGGTCCAGGTTCTTCTTTGTCTTCAGAAATCTTCTAGTTTCTCACAAACGGTGCTGTCAGAGGATGTTTCAGCTGCTGGGCTCAGAGTTGATCTGGGGTCTTTAAATCTCATTAAAAACAGTTTAAAGTGAGTACCTTAAATACTCTACAGTACACAGAGTATTACATGTGTATTTTATTAAATTAAACTGGTACATACAGGTACAGAGTCAAAGATCCTTCTTAATGAAACTTTGAAGCTTTTATATAACAGCAGCTCTAGAGTCTCACATGAAGCAATAAAAGTGGATCWGTGAGGTATTTCTGAGTGACGATGCTGAAGACTGGGGGTCTTTCAGGGCTGGTTTCAGGGTCTACAGGTCACTAAGTGCTCATTCAGTTTGGGAGGCCGTAGAGACAGCAGCTGAAGGCAGCTGGACTCACACAGGCTTTAGACTCCAGCTGCTGACCTGCAGAGGAAACAGGTCAGCTGTAACACAACCAGATGCAGCAACAATCACAACAACTGTGAACAGGTGAGGTACCGTGAGTCCCTGACACCTCCAGAGCTGGACCACCTGGGCCCAGCTGCTCCCTCAGAGTCCTGATGGTCTGACCCGACGTCTGCCTGGTTCTCATGGTACCTGAAACAAACCGTGACAAGAATCAGTGGGCGGAGCCACATCAGAAGGTGTAGAACTGTTAGTGGTTCTGTTAGACATGAAGGCCTGGACTCTGGACTCTGGTTCTGTTGAGGTTCTGTTGGAGCACAGCCTGCTTTAATAAACCTACTGTCCAGCACAGCAGCTACAGTCTGGACCGTCTGCTGGAGGCTGCCGGACCACTGGTTCATGAAGATGGATCCGACTCCACTCAGACTCAACAACAGAGCCGCCTCCACGGGTTCCTCCAGGACGACCCGGCCCGCTCTGGACAGGAGAACAAACTACGCTCAGATTTGGGTCAGAGAGGAACTTCCTGATGTCCAAATGAATGCAGTAAATATAACAACACTGTAAAAATAAACCCTATAAAACTGAAAGACTGAACACTTTCTTACCTCTGCTGGTGGAGAGGACTCATCTGGTCCTGGACCCGGTCAAAGAGCAGAACCATACGGCAGTCTGAGGAAGACAAAAGAACAGAGACTCAACTAACTGTTTATTAACAGAAAACACCAGAACTAAACCCAAACTGTTTGTTTCAGGTCTACACCAGAGACTGAGACGCCTCAG